ATCACTCATGGGGATTGCAGAACAGAAGGTATTGCTGCCTGATCTTTCCTCTGGTAGCTTTATCGTGGAAGGGTACCCACCAGGTGACAACCGGAACTCTCCTTTATGAGGTATCTTTTTGGTTATATGGGGTTCAGGGAGCCACGTGAGGAGGCAGTCTGCCCATTGTCTGCCTGCAGAGGCGCTGCTGGGCTGTCTTGGACTCAGTCCAGCTGCTGTGTAACCTTCTTCTGGCTTTTGTTTACACAGGTAGGTTTAGAGCTGCCTCAGCGATGGCGGATGCTCTGCCCCCCTTCCCCCCACTGAGCTTGATTTTCTCCAGTCAAGCTTGAACTGATGTGCTGGCTGTGAGACTCTCAAGTGAGAGGGCATCAGTTTGTTAGTCCTTGTGGGGGTGGGTCCCACCCAGATGTATCACCTGTCTCCCTGCTTTCAGCTCCTCCTCTTTCTGGGGAGAGAGTAGCTCCATCCCGCAGGCACTCTTGGTGCTAGTCAAAACGTTCGCCCAGATCTGTGCCAAAAACCTGTGGCGTCTGCCAGAGCTGCCGCTCAAATCTGTGTTGGTAACTCGTGAAGCTTTTTAGCCCGGTGGGGATCTCCTGGTCTGTGGGTTGCAGAGGGCGTGGGAGAAGCGCAGTATCTGAACCGGAGTGCTGGTGGCAGAGGAGGGGAAGTCAGAGAAAGCACTTTTAAGGTTGGGGAATTGACCAGTCTCCCGCCAGTTTGTCTGTAATTTGCATATTCAGATGTCATAGAGACCAATTATTACTTTATTGCCTTATGAATTATTTGTTTTATAGCATTTAAAGAGTCCACCCTGCACCTGGAGCTGCACCTTTAAGGAACTTCCATACTGTTTTCCATTGTACTAATTTGCATTCCCACCAGCAGTGCAGAAATGTTCCCTTTTAACCACATCCATGACAACATTTATTATATTTTGATTTTTTGATTACAGCCATTCTTGCAGGAGTAAGGTGGTATCGCATGGTGGTTTTGATTTGTATTTCCCTGATCATTAGTGAATGTTGAGCATTTTTTCATGTTTGTTGGCTATTTGTATATCTTTTGAGAATTGTCTATTCATGTCCTTAGCCCGCTTTTTGGTGGGAATGTTTGTTTTTTCTTGTTAATTTGTTTGAGTTCCTTGTAGATTCTGGATATTAGTCTTTTGTTGAGTGTATAAATTGCTAAGATTTCTTTCCGACTCTGGGATGTCTGTTTACACTGCTGATATATATATATATATATATTTTTTTTTTTTGCTGTGCAGAAGATTTTTAGTTTGTCTCATCTATTTTTCTTTTCTTTTTTTTTTTTTGACACAAGGCCTTGCTCTTTCGCCCAGGCTGGAGTGCAATGGTGCCATCTCAGCTCACTGCAACCTCTGCCTCCCGGGTTCAAGCAATTCTCATGCCTCAGTTTCCCGAGTAGCTAGGTCTACAGATACTGACCACCATACCCACCTAATTTTTGTATTTTTAGTAGAGACAGGGTTTCACCATGTTGGCCAGGCTGGTCTCGATCTCCTGATCTCACGTGATCCATCCATCTCAGCCTCCCAAAATGCTGGGTTTACAGGCGTGAGCCACCGCAGTCAGCCTGCGTTTGCTTTTAGGTTCTTGATCATGAAGTCTTTGCCTAAACCAATGTCTAGAAAGGTTTTCCAGTGTTACTGTCTAGAATTTTTATGGTTTCAGTCTTAGATTTAAGTCTTTGGTTCATCTTGAGTTGGTTTTTATATAAGGTAAAAGATGAGGATCCAGTTTCATTCTTCATTCTTCTACATGGGGCTTGCCAGTTATCCCAGCACCATTTGTTGAATAGGATGTCCTTTCCCCACTTTATGTTTTTGTTTGCTTTAATCAAAGATCAGTTGGCTTTAAGTATTTGGATTTATTTCTGGGTTCTCTTTTCTGTTGCATTGATCTCTCTGCCTGTTTTAATACCAGTACCATGCTGTTTTGGTGACTATGACCATATATATAGTTTGAAGTTGGGTAATGTGATTCCTTGAGATTTGTTCTTTTTGCTTAGTCTTGTTTTGGCTATGTAGGCTCTTTTTTGGTTCCATATAACTTTTAGGATTTTTTTTTTAGTTCTGTGAAGAATGATGGTGGTATTTTAATGGGAATTGCATTGAATTTGTAGATTGCTTTTGGCAATATGGGGATTTTCACAATATTGATTCTACCCATCCATGAGCATGGGATGTGTTTTCATTTGTTTGTGTTATCTATGATATCTTCTAGCAGTTGTGTTTTTTTTTTTTTTTTTTTTTTTTTTTTTTTTTTTGAGACGGAGTTTCGCTCTTGTTACCCAGGCTGGAGTGCAATGGTGCAATCTCGGCTCACCGCAACCTCCACCTCCTGGGTTCAGGCAATTCTCCTGCCTCAGCCTCCTGAGTAGCTGGGATTACAGGCATGCACCACCATGCCCAGCTGATTTTTTGTATTTTTAGTAGAGATGGGGTTTCACCGTGTTGACCAGGATGGTCTCGATCTCTTGACCTCGTGATCCACCCGCCTTGGCCTCCCAAAGTGCTGGGATTACAGGCGTGAGCCACCGCACCCGGCCCAGCAGTTGTTTTGTAGTTTTCCTTGTAGAGGTCTTTCACCTCCTTGGTTAGGTGTCCCAAATATTTAATTTTACTTTTTTCAGCTACTCTAAAAGAGGTTGAGTTCTTGATTTGATTCTCAGCTTAGTCATTGTTGGTGTATAGCAGAGCTACTGATTTATATACATTAATTTTGTATCTTGAAACTTTGCTGAATTCATTTATTATAGGAGCAGTCCTTTGCTTTTAATTCTGGTGGTGTTTCTTACTATGCATAAAATGATTTGAACCAATAGGGTGAAACTGTCTTACAGTTTCTATATACAGTTTCACAATGTATAAGTTTTTAAAATTTTTTGATGGCAGCAATAATACCTTATATATCATTGTAGGACAGGCCTTGAACATAGTAATCGTAAGCATTCTAAATTTTTCTTGAAAGAATAACAAGAAATACAGGAAATTGGGTGGAAAAACAAGGAATAAAGGAATGGCAATGAAGATCTAAGAGTAGCCTATGCTTTTTGTATAAAAGTATTTTAAATTACATTCAAAGTTCAGTGGATTTTCTAATTATAGCATAACTGGATATGGACTTTGGAGGAAATCACACAGGAAATACTTTCAGATGGTCAAGTGGGCAGCTAAATGATAAGGTTGTTGCTGGCTAGTCACTAGCCCCTTGGGGCTGAAATAGAGTTTTGCTTCATATGCTCATACTTATGGCTTCATAAATTGTGACATACTTGAAATTAATTTTAACAGGAATAGCAAAATAAGAGCAAAGACTGTTATAGAAATAATCTTACCACTTGAACACAAGAAGTTTTTTTATGTATACTGTACTTTTATATGTGTATGTACTTTACACAGTTGTAATCACAGTGTATTTTTTTCTTTAGAATTTTTTCAGCTAACATGATAATTTTCCATGAAATTATTAGATTTTAATTCTGCACACATGTTATGGGATTTTGAGACCTGGCATCTTAGTGTTGTATGGAAATTGTACCAACATAGTTTACAGGTCAAGGGCAATAAAACTGACTTTCTTAGGGCAGCGTATTAAATATCATTTGATTGCTGTTTTCAGCGTGTACTCTTGGGAATCTGGTTTTATTTTGTAGCCAAGTAGGAAGAAGTCCGTTGTACTGGTAGAAGTTTTAGGGGGAAATTGTTTTTAGTATGTTTTTACTTTCTGAATCTATCATGATAGAAAATGAGAAAAAGCTAAATTTCAGTTTAGAAGATCTTTTTGTTGTTTTATTCAGGGCCCTTTTATAGAGAGTGAAAAATATGTTTCTAAGTGATATGTTTATGAAGTGACTGTCAGTAGAACTTGAAGTTCTTTTCTAGTTTAAAAATAATCTAAGTTGGCTGTTTGAAAATGGGACTGTATGTTTGAATGATGTCTTTGAACCTTTTCCAACTGTTTCCTGTGTTACCTTGGGTAAAACATCTAATCATAACTGTGAAAAGTAGGAATAAAAATATTTGATGCTGATTGTGATTATGGTAATAGTTCATGGATCTACGTGGCTTCTGTGAATATGAAGGGAGACATATAAAAACCGTGTTGGACTCTTTAGAATAACTATCAAATATTTCAGTATTGGGTAAATTGTCAAAGACTACATTTTTATGAGCAAACATAGATTGAGAAGGCAGGGGCATACGAGCTGAATGTGTAGTAAGCACTTGTTGACCACACATGGCTTCCAAGCATACCTAATTTACTTAGGCCCAGGTGTCCTCAGGCAGTCAGTCTTGTGGAACAGGGAGACCCAGATCAGTCCTGGGTGTACTGACTCACCTGGTCTCTTTCCTACAGTGTCTAGCCCTGTGATGAGTTGGTTCTTTTTTAGATTGAGACAAATCCATCTCAGCCATTTTTAATCAGCAGACTCCAGCATACCCTCAAAGGCCAAGAGCAAAAAATTCCTGTTAATTCACACACCCCAAATCAATTCTGAATCAAAAAATAGACTGTATACTCATATGTGTATGTGTCTGTATGTGGGTGGGGAGGGTGGAGGGATAATAAGATCTTTCTTTTGTTTGTCTAGTTCGAAAGGATAGGCTATTTCTATTTAAGATGGAATTGGAGTGGTACAGAGAGAGTGGTAACAGAAACATTACACAGCACAAAGTATTGTTAATCTAGTCAAGCATATTTAGACTCCATACTGACAGAACCAGCCAAGACCAAGCCCCTTGGAACTTGTCCAGTTTGAGAATATCTTGTTATATTCATTAAAAGGATAACAACTATGGGATGGCTGTAAAATTACTGTTTTTATTTTTTGGTGAGTGGGTGTTAAATGAAATGTTTTCCAGAAGATAGTGGGGAAAATACAGCTCCATGCTTTTAGCTAGTTAGGCACGCCTGAATCGATGAGAATCATGGTTTTGTTAATTTCATCAACATGTTCATTTCTTTCAGCTCCATGTTCATGCATGTCTTTTAACCCGGAAACAAGAAGACTGTCCATAGGTCTAGACAATGGTACAATCTCAGTAAGTACATGTAAATAAGATTTCCAGTTGAAATACTTCCCTTCTTGTGGAGTATGTATATGTATTTATTAGTTTTTTCAAATTAACAGAATAATTTTCTTGCTAAGTAGAGTGAAAATTGCAGCATAGCAAATTATGTTGAGGTAAGAGATTCTAATATAGGGAGAGCTATTATCAGTATCCACTTAAGTGCTGACAAAGTTCAGCTTGACCTACCCTGTACACAGTGGCTAGGATGGGGGCATTCGGAGGCTAGTGAGTAAACTTCATGAGTCTGCATTAGCAAGAGCAAGCTGTGCTACTAGTGGCGTTAATCAGATGGTTAATCATGGTGCCTTAAGCTTTGCCACGTAAGCAACTGAACAGGAGGAAAATGCTTTCCCTTATGTCTGCATGTCTGATCTTGTCTTTGATACTCTGTGTTCTTTTTCTCTTCCTTCTGCTTCTTGTTTTTTTTTCAGCTCCATCTAGCATCTGAATAGAATTCTGTAAATTTGTATGAATTTGTGAAAACAGCATGGAGTCTAGATTTAGTCTATAGAGTAGATCCACATAAATATTAGACCCTTTGATTACAGATGTTGGAGGAACTAAAGTGATTAAAGATTGGAATTTTGGGTTTTATTTACCTACTTAATCTTTCTACATATTATGTTTCAACTAGTATATTAATAGTAACATGACTGATCTGGTCAATTCTCCATTTGGTAAATTATCCAGCATTGCTTTTAGTCCTGGGCGAGAGAAGTCCTGCTTCAGAACCCATGAATTAGAAGGCCCTGTTTTTTTCACACTTCCCCATAGGGTGAAGGATCTGAGGGGCCAAGGGGATGTGATCAGCCCAAGTCCTCCCTCTCTCCCACTTCATCCTCCCCCTACCAAGACTCTGGAATTTCCTGCCCCCAAGCTGCTTAGAATCTGCTTCCAAAGTGTTCACTGGCCTTTTTCCTGGATCTGTCCTTAGATAAAACCAGTGAGTGTGCTTTTAGGCCTGAGAGGTGGCAAAGAGGTAGCAGTTTGTGGTAGACAGGATGTCCACACTTGAATGCAAGGCCCCTCAAGGTCTTGACAAAACTGGGGAACAAAAAGAGAAGGGAGTAGGCTAGCCCCAGTGTCACCACAATACGGCATGGAACTTCAAGGAGTCTAAGAATTCTGGATTTGAACCTGTACCTCCAGCTGGTGAAAGGTGTATTTGTCAAGATTGGAAGATGAGACCATATTTTATTTACTAGTTCAACTGGACTTGTAACTTTTAAATATGTAAACATGGAACGTGGGCCTCTATTTGTAATCTTACCCCAGCCTCTGCAAATGTTACTGGGTCTAAACTTTTCTATTTGATCTTTAGTCACAACATTTGCTTGATGGCCTTTTTGGAACTATTAATAATATTGTTAAATATAAATTAGCCTATTGACAGGTATTTATGAAATTTCTGTAATATTCAATACATTTGGTAGATCTGTAGACTCTGTTTCTTAGGTGGATAGCAGTTTATGATACAAAGTTGTCTAAGGAGAGCCATTTTAAAAAGGAAGAGTATGTATGAGATAAATTTATTTTTAAAAGATAAAGGGAGATCATTGGATTATTCAGTGGACTTCTGAAGTGTTCATTGCAAAGAAAATCTGAAAAGATGAGCTGAGATCCCTCCATTACCCAGCAGTTATAGGATATAGTGTCCATTACGCTCACTGTCCTTGAAAAGACTTAGGTTTATATATAACATAGGAGTGGTTTGTTGCAGTTTTGAAATCAGTGTAGGTGGTTAATGGATACTGATAAATTTGGCTTTGAAGGCAAGAAAGATGAGCAAAGTAAGTTATGGAGAATTCTAGCTATTTATTGTATGTAAGAGGAGAAACCACCTTAGCCATTATTTAACGTTTAGTAAATGAAACTGCCAGAGAAGCAGAATATGAATCAGGGCCTATCTTTTCAAGTATGTCAGTATACGGTTGAGATATCAAACCTTAACTTACTCCAGTCTTCTGAAGAAGATTGAGGGACCCTAGCTTATATGAAATAATTTCCTTAAAAGTACGACCTTTGTATCATTGAGGAAGATGGGTTACACACCCTACCTCTTCTCATCTACAGAATTAGAACAAGTTCTAAGTTAGCAAAAGGTACACTGACAGAACAGCATGTTTAAGGTTCAAGATTCTCATTGATCACTACAATAGCAGGCTCTTTACTGAAAATACTTAGTCTCAGCTGTTTAATAACTTACTTTATAGACATGAGAAATCCTAGTCAGAGACTATATATTCTGTTTCCTGAATATAGCCAATAAAATTTAAGAAGAAATAGTGGTTAACCTATTTGAAAACTAAGAAAGTGCGAAATCAGAAAATAACATCATTATTTCACTTGATTTTACTGAATAAAAAGAACACATTTTGTAAGATATAAGAGACAAACTTATGCAGCTAAGTAGTGAATTAGAGATGAAGTAGAGATAAGACATAGAGACCATTCTTTCAAAAATGTGGCCACAAAGAACAGGAGGAGGGAGAGCCTGAGCAGTGGAGCAGGGTCTGGTAGGAGACAAGCAGCAAGAGGGTCCTGAACAATGTGGGAAAGTTAGCTGTGGGAAAGAATGGGGACAGTTGAGAGAGAAGGAAAGGAGAGAGGAATGTCATTCAGTTTTGAGATATAAGAGAGGAATGCCTTTTACTTTTTCCTGTGAGGTAGCAGGTGAGGTCACCTACTAAGGGAAGCTAAAGATATGGGGTGAGAGTAAATTTTCCTGTCTCTGCCTTTTGCTCTTTCTGATGATACAGCCCAGAATCCCTCTCTGCCATCTTGGTCTACAAAGTTGTAATTATTTTTCCCACCTCATTCAAATGTTATCTTTTTGTTTGTATTTTTATTTTTGGCGATGGTTCCTGAGCCCTACCAATGGAAATTAGTCACACATGGTACTCAGTAGGTTAGCTATGTTATATTGTGTATTTAAATTCTGCTTGTGAAGTGTTTTTAAGTCTGTCTCTTCCATTAAACTGTTGGGTGTTGAAGAGTTGACTAGTCTTTTATTCATCTGTCTTCCTGGTAGATCTTATTGTGACTCCTTGTACAAATCGGGAACTCAGTGAATAATTTGTTAAATAGTTTATTGATTAAAGTACAAGCACTATTATTATTTAATACAGCTGATTGTAATAAGCACTTGCTTAAATTCTAAGATAGTTTATTTGTACAATTCTTTTACCGTTCAAAATGTTTTTCAAAATAGAATGACCTTCTGTAGGGGAAAAATTTATGCCAATAGTTTAATTTATCTTGAGCTTTTTCAGAAATGTCTTCTGTTTTAATAGAGAAGTCAGTCAGATTGTGCTAACTGCTATTCATGCTGAAGTAAAACTTTAAATTTTCAATTTTTATGTCTCATGTATTTTAGCCAACTAACAAATATTTGAATATCAGCTTTGTGCAAAAGGTTATGCTCAATTCTAACATAGTGTGGCTTCTGTTCTCAAAGTATTTATTTTTCAGTTAGGGAGTTAAAATGAAAAATGAAGTTATGGAATAAGCAACGCAAAGTAAACAAATAATCTCAAAAATACCGTTACACCAATGAGTGTGGTGTTGGCAGATGTCAGAAGACAGTGGGAGATAATGGTCTAGGATGGCTCCCTGGAGACTGGATGTGAACTGGATTTAGAAGACTGGCTAGGATTGGATTAGCGAAGATGGGAAAGTAGGGTATTTCGGACAAAGTTAATGGAGTAGGGGGAAAAAACCCCAAAATCATGGAGGTGCCAAAGGACCAAAGATGTTTGGAGAGAAATAAACCAAATTGGTAAGAGGATTAATGGATATCCTGAAAGCCTTGATTCAGGATGAGTGGTAAGCGTTATGTATGGTAAAGGAACTGGATCCGTAACATGGAAGATTCAATAATTGACTGATGAGGAAATATCAACACAGCAGTAAAGAATTTTCCATTAAACTAATTTTCACCAACCCTACTGAATAATTGATATAGGATAGTATAGGGTGGATGTATATATCTTTACAAATATTTATTTTCTTCTTCATCAAAACTTATAAGGAGCCAGAAGTTTTATTAATATCTTGCTAAGATAAATGCATGGTCATTGAAGATTTTTTGAAAAAGGACTTAAAATGGTAAAAATCTCTGTTCTCTGAAGATTAATCTCATGTATGTGTTATGGGAAATTTGATTGGGTTGAGAGGATTGATCAATAAATGGTCAGCATTCAGAATGGTGATTATTGTATAAAAGTAAATGATATTGACTGTATGGATTTGTTTTGGTAGTTCTTGTGATTGTAATTATTATACTCTTACAGTATATAGTTCACGTGAGTTACCTAGTATGTTAGTTTCCTAGGGCTTCCATAACAGTACCACAGATTGGGTGGCTTCAAATAGCAGTTTTTCTCTCACAGTTCTGGAGCCTGCAGTCTGAAATCAGGGTGTTAGGGGGGCCATGCTCCTTCTGAAAGCTGTAGAGCATTCTTCTTTGCTTTTTCCTAGCTTCTGGTGGTTGCTAGCAATCCTTGGCATTCCTTGGCTTGTGTGTTGTCACTCCAGTCCTTGTCTGCATCTTCACATTGCCTTCCTTTCTGTGTCTCTGTGACTTCACATGGACTCCTTTAAAACAAACAAAACAAAACATGTAGTCTCTTTCTGTTGCCCACACCAAAGAGCAGTGGTGCAATCATGGCTCACTGCAGCCTTGAACTCCTGGACTCAAGTGGAGGCTGGGGCTATAAGTGTGCACCAGCATGCGTGGCTCATTTCATGGATGTTTATTTGTTTGTTTTAGAAACAGGGTTTTGCTTTGTTGCTCAGGCTGCAGTGCAGCGGCGCAATCATACCTTACTACAGCCTCAAAGTCCTAGGCTCAAGTGATCTTCCCGCCTCTACCTTCCAAGTAGCTGGGACTACAGATGTGCACCACCACACCTGGCTAATGTTTTTGGGTTTTTTTTCATAGATGGGGTATCACTATGTTGCCTGGGCTG